AATGCGTTGGCTTGGTGATATCGCAAGACACCAGGTTATGCTCCTAATCGTCCATCGTCGGGAAGTAGCGCCTCACACAATGTACTAGTTCCCACTGTTAAAGCATTTTATCCACCAAAAAGATTTACAAAGTCCTTCAATTCACGAATTCTTGCCTTTTTCTACATTTATTTTGCTTTATTTATAAGAGCTGCCCAAGACCCACGCTTTTCTTTTAATCTTGGCACGTATGAAGTGTCACCAATCCGAATGCTGTCTTTCTGTTTGTGAATTTGATCTACAAACGCTTTCCAATTCCTTGCATTAAAGGTTATACTGCATCTCCATTATGCTCATCTGTGGTCCGATTTGCGATACAGTTGCGTGTATTCCGCACATGTCCAATGATAGACTTCCAATTGCATCAAGAGTGTGTAGGGTGTATGAAGTGGGTGCATGATGCCTTAATGGAGCCTAAAGCTAGGGGCAAATTTTGCCCTCAGATAATCCGACGCCAATCTACTGATAAATGCCACTAATGTATGCAATAGCAAGCAAAGGAACTGTGCACCTCCAGTTTGATTATTGTCTACAAGTGTATCGAAATTTGGCTCCTGTCATTCTCCTACTTCGCAGGGAGTCACAATAATTCTGGCCGTTATATGACATTAATTGACATATATGTTCCTAGTAAAGGAATGAATTTTAAAACTTCTGTTATTATGCTCGCGAAAAGAGAGGATTTTTGACATCTTTTATGACCGAGTATAAAAGGCCTGAAAGTTAGTACACTAAGGGCAAATTTAAAAGCATTGAAGGCGACGTACATTGGGCTCGTATCAATCTAAGCTTATACGCAATTTAAATTTGTTTTAGAGATCAAAAAAGAAAGAAATTCAGCCGTCTTTCACGTCAGGTAAGATACCTCTTAACAACCATTCAGAGCTGTAGGTTATTTTGTAGAGATTGAATTCAAAAAAGCAGCCAAGAAAGAGTTGAAACGCTAATTAAAGTGTTGCATTTAAGCACAAGCAAAAAAACACAAATAATTAACGCCGAGCCGTTTGCACAGGTCTACTCATCTTCCACGCATCGCAGCCACACTATGGACTACTCAAGGTCACTCGAAGGCCTCTCAACGGGCGGCACATAGGTGTTCATTCATCTATACCCACGCACCATGCATTGACCGCAATAGGCGCTTTGTCGGGCTTTTGTATCACAATTGTTTGGGGCTCGCCAAAGTATTGGTAGTAGGCCTATATTTGGCGCATTCCGAATGGGTGCCATACGTGTGCGACTTCTAGACTAACTGTCACGAATATGTGACATGTGTCATTGATCAATTTATAATGAATGCTTTGTGCATCAGAAATGGATGGTTTAATTTTACGAGGATCTATTGCATCATCTTTTGTATTTAAGTGTGGAGACTGGTTAGCTTGGAGAGAGGAGATAGAGGAAACTTGCCAAATGCTGCCTGTCCTCTAGATAAGCATAAACACGCAATTTACTGCAGCAAGATTAGCTCAATTTACAATTCAGCTAGTCTGTTATTAATTGTTGCATGTTTCTAAAAGAAATCTTAGGACAAATTAGAAGGGTACCTCAAGAAATGAAATAGGTTTATAATATGGACTGCAATTTTCTGAATGAAAAGGCAATGAAGTTGTGGCGAAATCAGCGGGCTCCTTAAAACTTTTACATTTCTAAAGCTTCTAGGTTGCAAAATGAAAGATCATTTTTTGAAACGTATTGCTTTCAATGAATAGTGCACCTTATAATGAAGGGCATCAAGCCCAGCATGATACTAATTTTCTTCAAGAAAAAAACCCTAGACCATAGGCACACAATGTTGTGTAATACTTACGTTGTTTTAATGTACATTTCAGGGAGAAGGCAAGCAAAAAAAATTCGAATCTCGAGGTTGGATTGTCCTTTCCCGTACTTAGCACCTACAGCTCCCCTCCTTCTTGAACATTGTATTTTCCCTCCCCATCTTGTCACCTTTAATAAAGATGTCCAAAGCGAATCAACCGGGCTTGTCTAGGAACGCTAGGAATTGGGAAGCGGAGACCGAGGGGTCTCGCTCCACACTGGTGGCAGCGCCCGCTGACCTACCCCCTTTCGAGGAAGATATGAATTTCGAAGAGTGGCTCTTAACTGCCAAATTCAACCTTCCTCTCCCTCCCCGTTGTCAAAGAATACCTCTCATCCTTTCCGCCCTCCCTCATGATTTATTCGTGGCCGCAGTCGGAGCTGGCATCACCCACGACACGGACGTTGACCAATGCTGTGAAACATTGGCTCAACTGGTCATCGATTGTGAGGAGGAAACCCTGGCTAGGGACTTCTTTCAGTGTTTTCAAAAAGCTGATGAGGCCGACGAAGAGTACGCCAGGAACCTCCAACTCCTGGCGGAACGTGCGTTCCGCGACTGCCCCCAAACAAGATCACCAATTGGGTTAAAGTCCAGTTTAAACACGGAGTCCGACCTTCCATCTTGGCTGAGAAGCTCTGCGAAGCAAAGACTAACTCGCTGGACCAATTTGTCAAGCTCGCAACCATGAAGCGGCAGAAACTCCGGGGGCCCAGACTTTCCGGAAACCGCAAAACTGGTCAAATGCAGCATTCTCGTACCATGCTTCCCCGCGCTATATCCCTAGAAAAGGTGAACCTTCCTTTTCCCTTTCCTGTCTACTCCCAAATGGCTCCCAATCTTATAAGAGAGTTCCTGGTAAACTTGAAGGACGTTCCTGTAGTTTTCTTCTCGACTCCGGTGCAGCTGTCAATTGTGAACCTCCAAGCCTTCCCTACCCTTTGCAACGGGGTTAAGATCCTCTCCCCTTCTACAAAATTGCGTTCAGCAGAGGGAAAGGAGATACTAGTCGATGGAGAGACATCATTAAAAGTCTGCATAGGGAAGAAAACTTGGACAGTAAAATTCATTGTGTGTCCAGAACTGGCCTGGGACGTAATACTTAGTGCCGATTTCCTACGCTACACCAAAGCCGTCCTAAATTTTGCAGAAGGAACCTTTTCCACTCACGAAGCCACCGGGGTCAACACAGATACCCCTCCACCGAAAGACGACGCAGATGACATCTGCAATGCCATTTTTGAAGCTGCAGCCATTCCCATGAACAATCTGGATGACCTTTGTGCGCAGCTGACTCACATTTCCAACTACGAGAGAAAAGAACTCCGTCAGCTCCTACTTAAGTATGCGAACATCTTCTCATGGCAAGGTGTAAGACTGGGACGCACAAATGTTGTCAAGCATAAGATTAATACCGGTGAAGCTAGGCCCATTTGGCAACCACCCAGACGTATTTCACCTCCTTTGCTGGAAGAAGTAAACCGTCTGGTTGAAGAGATGCTCCGAGATGAGGTCATAAAGCCATCCAAGTCATCATGGGCCTCTCCCATAGCGCTGGTAAAGAAGAACGATGGCAGTCTGCGGTTATGCATCGACTATAGGAAGTTGAATGCTGTAACCAAGAAGGATGCCTTCCCCTTTTCCACATAAATGGCTCACTACATGGATCCCAGTGTTTCTCCACCTTAGATCTAAAGTCGGGATATTGGCAAGTAGAGGTTGCAGAAGCAGACAGGGATAAAACGGCTTTTATTTTGCCAAACGAGCTTTATGAATTTCAAACTATGCCCTTTGGACTCTGCAATGCAGCGGCTACCTTCCAACGCCTCATGCAAACAGCTCTGATCGGCCTATTCCCAAAGCGTTGCATTATCTATCTGAAACTAGAGTTGGACCGCCTACGGGATGCAGGGCTAACCCTGAAGCCGAAGAAGTGCCGTTTCCTACAACGCTCAGTCACCTTCCTGGGACATACAGTCTCTTCGAATGGAATAGCCGTCACCGACGACCGTGTACAACAAGTGATGACATGGCCTACACCAATCAACCAGACAGAGCTCCGCAGTTTCCTAGGTCTAGCAAATTATTACCGGTGTTTCGTAAAGGGCTTTGCTAAGATTGCCAGCCCACTGCATAAATTAACCGAGAAGCAGGCTAAAAAGAATTTTAAATGGGAGAAAGAGCATGATGAGGCGTTTAAAGAACTGAAGAGAATGCTCTGCTCCACTCCGATCCTAGCATTGCCAAACTTCGAATCGAACGCTCCACTGTTTATACTGGATACAGATGCGAGCGACGTGGCTGTGGGCGGTAAACTCTCACAAAAGGACATTAAAGGCAGAGAACACGTCATCGCCTACGCAAGTACAAGGCTCAGTAAAAAATGAGACAGAAAAGTGCAACGCAACATGAGCTGTTCGCCATCTACTCAATGGTTC